TGGCAAATAACATTGCACGACATGTTCAAGGACTAAAGTTGAAAGTGTTTTTTTCCGAAATAAATTGCATACATATCTGGGATGCGTACTTAAACGGGTGCGTGTTTAAGCGGGAGGCTACTGTAGAGGCTGCTTAACAATCAATTTTAGATAAAAAAACACATGCAATGTTGAAATCATATTGATCAGAGTACACGTTTTTAATCCTAACCTGTTACAATCGCACAATACGATTGAAAGATGCAAATACGATGACGATCATGCGATTACATTTTCTTCTGTAGAAGTCGATTGACTTACTAAGCTCTATTTGCTTGTAGCAGAAGCATAGAACTCGCAGCGATGTTTAGTGACGTTACAGACAGTTGTTTGATCGAATTGGAGTGCCAAAAGCTGTTTAGCAAAGCGGCACAGGCGCAGACCTATGAATCACTTTCGAACTCAAGCACGTATAGGATTTTCTATACAGAGTCGCTTTTTTAATCTAGAGCACGCTTTATTCGGCGGATTCAGAAGCAACAGTAGCAGTTGGATCTACTATGACGAACAAACCAATGTAAATAAACTCAAACCATTTTGACTTTGGTCTGGTGAGTGTGCCGATAATCACGTAGCTGGATTGGAGATTTTGATAAAGAATAGATTCGCTATCCACATTTACGGCTTGGTAAGCTAAACTTGAATTTGGGCTTCTTTTCACAGATTGAAGTGTGTTTACAATGAAGGCACTGCCTCGATCTTGGAAATAGCGTGTGCACCTGAACAGCTAAATCACGTATAGGGCAAATGTGTACGTTTAAGACTGGGCGAGTCACTGGGAACGTACATATCACATAACACCTTAGTATTTCACCAAGAATCTCTTTAAGTGAGTCGGCTGCGATGATCGCACTTTTGGCAGGGGTCCGTATATACATTAGATTTGGTACACGGGAGCGGACACCCGGTGCATGTATGCTCAATTTGAGGATGGGTAAAGTGCTGGAAGTGGAGTGGATATCAGGCGCTGTAGTGACTCATGTTGCCGTAACCCTTCAGACTAGATTGCTAGCCTGCTTCGGTGCTGCTAAGTCTGCAGCAAAGACGGATCCTAGACATATTTTATTTATTAAACTTGCCATACCCAAAAAAGATTCTCTTAGTCTCTTGCCTCTAAAAGGCTCGACGCTCGACCAACGAGAACTCGCTTGTTATGGATGTAGGTCGCTCATAGTGCTCTCACTGATGTCTAGCCTAGACGTTCCTGGATGTGTCGTTTTAGTAGCTTGTGGGCAACCGATCACGAGATCAAGTGTTATAGTCGCTTGATCCGGGACCGGGAGGTACCTGGTTCGACATCGAAAGGATCAGAACAAAGGAAGCCGGATATAGGTCACTAAAGTGGACGAGCAATCGCACCTAGAAAGTTTGTCTGCTCTACCAACCCACGCTCAATTTGGTATGCGATAGTTGGGTGGACTGGAGGTACCGGAAAATCTCCCAAAGTATAATGAGGGGATTCGGAACTTGGTCCCTAAAGGGATCGTATAGCTACCAGCATCCCGCGCTATGGAACCTTCGTCAGAACGGGTTTCAGTAGCTTAAATCGCGATAGCATGTGGACGCCTTCAGGCAGATTCGACCTATTTGAGCAATAGAAGGAAAGAGAAGAAAAGATATCAACGAGAGACAAAAGCTTATTAAAAGTGTCTTTATTCTTTAGAACGAGTACGCGAATAAATCATGTTTTACCATCACATAGAATACATTCTTATTCAGACTCGGTCGAATAATATCAAATGCAACGAGGTGGCCGTGAACCTCGCGAAAACGAATTTTGACGCTCAGAGTCAGCGTTAAAATTCAGTCACAGGGTTGGTCTTCTAGAATATTGCTTCATTTTCAAACTTTAATAAAACATACCCCACGTTAGAGGTTATGTTCTCGTAGTAAGCAACCCTGTAGCGCACTTCACACCATCGATATAAAAATGAGCTCATTATATTGCTAAACCTCACAAACGAGTGGTCGGTGGTTCGATTCCACCGTCGGATGCAAGAGCGGACCAAACAACACGTGGTGAGTTTTGTAAATGTTCATACCTGCACGATATAGATAGTTATTCGCCAGTATGCTAAGTACCTAGCGTCGGCGTCTCCTCCGATATGTATTTGAGACCAGATGATTTTCACAATCCAACATCACAGCGGCTCCAGGTATACAAAGGATGACCATCCACAATCTTTTAATCAGCATGAAGGTGCGCAAAACAACTTCACGTAAGCTTCCGTTTATCTCATATTAATTAAGTCGTGCATCTTCTATTGTTATGACCACTAGCTCCACAGTTGGGGCAATGAGAAATGCGCTTTGTTTCATTTTCCAGATGCATAGTGGCAGCTTGAATTTCTCGTTTTCTTTTCTTCTTTGATCCACCTCGTTTCTTATTGATATGTGGTGCTGAGACTTGTTCAGCGAGTGGATTACATTTTAATATTGGCCGGAGTAATGTTGAGTCCTGTAAACTGTACGCAGCACAGTAAGTAGCTGACGTTCAGGTGGAATCAAAGCATCTTTCCGCAATATTCAACCGGTTAGTCTTTTTGAAACAAAAAATGCATGCTCACAAGGAGCTTGCATATGGGAGTGAAGCTTAATTTTATATTCCCTAAAATGATACTAAGAATTTCTGTTTTGCTGATAAAAATATTAAAACCTGTTTTAGACATGGCGTTAGGCCAGCAGCCTATGTGACCCGCGAACCTCCCAATTTTGAAGCATCATCACTCTCATGCTCACGGAGTATTAAAAGGATTTTTTATCATAGAACTTCTCAGCTTCGCTTTAAGTTCGAGAGCATACGTACATACACCACAAAAAGTCATACTCCGTTATGACCTTAAATTATAAAAAAAAAATCATTTCAAGCTATCTCTGACTTTGAGCAAAAAAGTATTACACCTAAGATGGAGCTGCCTGTGTGGTGACCAGTTAATCCATCCTTTGAGATTTAAGCGGGTATAAGGATCAAGCTTTCTTTGTGCAAGGTCGTTGTGACAACAATGTGATGTTTAAATACACAAGAGTACGAACCCCGTCTCATTGACCTTAAATTCTCTTCGGAGCAATTTGCTGGCTTTGTATGCTTTGCTGCCTTTAGCTATATGTAAGATCAATGCCACTTATGCATTGCGTCTGGTTTCACAAGCGCAGTTTGTTGATGTTGATTAGGACGTTAATTGCACCTTTCTATGAGGGAACATAGGTGTTCGACACAACCAACACGATGTAGTCATAGATACATAACCTGCTTTAATAAATAGTTATAGATATTGGAGAGTCTGGGTTTTTGGCTCTGTCTTGTTATTCTTTATAGAACTTCAGTTCAAGCTTATAAAACAATAGCTCTTTAAATTTAGTAGATTAGTCTTTTTTTACTTCTGTACCACTAGTGGTTGTTCCGCCCTTATAATTTTGGCGTCGAAGCCAAAATTTCGTGCTTCCAATGTAAAGGCGCAAGTCTCGTGTTCCGTCTGTCCATTTCCATCAAATACATTATTCCTAGTGTTCCATACTGGTATTACCGGTTCAGTTCTATAAATTCACATGTGATCGCCATTTGAGAATGAAAACCCGACACCACAGCTCCATGGCGTTGCTGCTACAGTCAGTGCTGCTACAGTCAGTGCTGCTACAGTCAGTGCTGCTGCTAATGCTTGAGGCGTCCGCCAATGAGCATTTTATACTGTCTGTAAAAGAAAACCCAAGTGTTCTTCCCTCAGGAGATACGCTTGTGTCGTTGGAGCTATCGTCCGCTGTGCCATCGGACCTCCTGACAACTTCGCGCGTCCTCGTGCCCGTCGCTTTCGACTCGTTTATAGTTAAGGGTCAGTGGACCCTAGGCAACTGGAGTGTACCTTTATCGTCGATGTTGTCATCAGTCGGAGGCACCAGTCATACGGTTCAGGTGGACGTGCAGCTTACGAACGTTGGTAACGTGACCATCTCGCAATTATTGGTCCAAGCGGACCCTACACCTCTTGAGAGCGTAGATCTGTCGCTTTCGTTCGGAAGTGACGCTCTGGATGCTCTTTATAATCTCGAGGTGATCCGTGTAGATGGTATACAGGCAGCGTTTGAGGACCGGTGGCTTCCAGTAGGAGTGAATTTAAAGCAATTGTAGGAACTAAGAGAAATGAAAGATCGAGAAGATACTGACAGTATTCTATGCCAACTTGCAGAACGTTTGACAAGACGACAGTCGAAAACTTTGAGCTGGACAAGACAGTGTTAATTCATGAAATGATCATTCGAAATAGTACTCTGTCGTTTCCTACGGCGGTGCTGGGTCTAGAGGCAGCGGTAACAACTCTGTACGTATAAATTAATGGATAAATATGAGAGCTTAACACTGATACCGCATGTCATAGTATTATGGAGGCGAATACGATCTCGGGGCCAATACAATTGACAGAAGACAAATACGCTCGTTTGGTTAGCATATCGGACTTCCGAACGACGGAGAATATTGTCAACATGACAGAAGGTGGCATGTTGTCATGCATACAGAAAAAATCCGTTAAGGAATTCGAAATATGCATTGTGAAGGACATTCAGGGCGCGGCTCCTTTTGATCATACTGGTAGCACCTACACCAGCAACACTCGAGATGCTGGATCTTTGGAGACACGTTCTGCCAGCCAACCCACCAGTACACGCAATGGTATCTCGGCATCTGGTATTGTAATAGGTTGCGCAGTCGCACTGGTTATATTGATAGTGCTATCCTTCTTTCGTCGCTTCAAAAGGAAGGCAAGCAAATTTGTTGATGAACGCTTGCCATTCAGTAATCGTGAGGAAGATTTGCTGGCAAACCACAGAAGTGAGCCTGATCTTAAAATTGCGCCAATTGGAAATTCAACGCTTGTGGCTGACATGGACTTAGGAAAAGATCAAGTGACTCTTCATAAAAAGCTGGGGATACAAGGCCTGTGGATCGGCGAGTATCGAGACGCGAAAGTTGTCGCACTCAAATTTGTACCGCGAGAATTGGACATGACGATTGATGAGCTTAACGCCGTCCGGTTGTCGTATGTGCCTCTTCGACACGAAAACATTGTAACTTTCTTGGGATCCTGCTGGACTGAACGCGAAGAGGTCCTGATTGTAGTGGAGCACATGGCCATGGGCAGTTTAAGAAAGGTACTGGCAGATGATTCCATTGAGCTCGCCTGGCCGCAGCGACTTCAGATAAGCAAGGACATTTGTTCAGGATTAAACTTTGTTCGCTCAAGTCAAGGAAGTAGATTGTCGTGTAACCTGACGGCCAGGAGTGCGTTCGTTGACGCCCAGCTTAGATGTAAGCTAGATATATTCGACTACGCCTTAAGTCTTCGAAAAGACCTGATACCTGTGCGGTCGTACGGACACGGTGACATCGCATGTCGGGCACCAGAATTGTTAAAGGGTGAGGAGGTCACTGCTGCAGCTGAAATTTACGCGCTAGGTGTGATTTTTTGCGAGATTTCGTCGCGTCGCAAACTTTATGAACACCTTTCAGAGGAGCATGGTTCGACAATGGCTGATATCATTATTGCAATCGAAGTGGTAGCGCAACGCTTAAAGCCGTCACTCGCAGAAGATGCTCCGCCTGACTTTCGCGAATTAACCTTGCAATGTCTATCGTACGCACCAGCAGACAGACCGCAATTAAGCGCAGTTTTGAATATGTTTCCCAAATATTAACAAAGAACTGTTGTTGCTACTCTTTGTGCCATGGAATTTGACGAAGACGTTCCGCCAGCTGTTGATACGGTCGTATACGTTGCGCTGTTGTCATAGCAGCTCGACCGCTGGAACTGGGAAGCACCCAAATTTCGCTGTCCTTTCGGAGCTCATGGGGCCACTCCGGAGGAAAGTGTGACTGCTTTCCGTAGTTTTCAATCTTTGACAAGGTCGGTGTGAATAGCCAGCTAAATTGCCGCTTTCCGGAAAACGCAACCAGAACTGGGGCGTGCGGATGCTTGCATTCAGTCTCTATGTGATCGCCTTCTTGTTTCCTTGTGGATTTTGCAATGTCATGGTGATCATATCGGCAAACTTGGACAGCATGGCGGCGAAGTCTGTCGTAGAAGCTATTTCGCCAAGCTATCACTAATACGGGTAACAGAATCAAGTAACTAACATCAAAGCAGGATCCTATAGTAATACGTACTTGTTGCTTTGCCGAACTTTGAAGCATCATTTCCGGGCTGATCATTACCCAAGAAAAATGAGCAACTATTTCTAAGCTGCCTTTACTTGTTGTTGGTGTACCTCTAATCCAATAGATGTAAAACCGACACCATGAACGTGAGGCAAGACATTTTGATTTACAATTTTTGCCGATGATGGAATAATTCCCTCCCAAGAGTAAGGTGACATGGTTCCAGTCAATAGCATCCACATGCGATTAGTTGGATTGCTGTTGTCCAAAGATTAGAATTTTATAAGACTTGTTTCTGCAAAAGTCTAATTTCTTACCTATATGAATAGCCAGTCCTCCATGCGTGATCGGAGGGATTGTGCCCTACGATAAGCAAGCGCAGGCGACGCTCTGAGTAGTGTTTGCAAGGTCGAACTTGCTTAAAACAATCGTCACATATGGCGTGCCATCGTTCTTGCCATTTGTGACTTCTTTGAGCTCCAATTTCGCTTTCTAGCTCATTGTGAATGTTCTTTCGCCTTTTTGCAGGACCTGCAACAGTTGTTGAAATATTCCTAGTACTTTCTGTGTCGTCGTCGCCCTCACGTTTGGAAAAACGAAACCTGTCGAAGATCCCTGCCATTTCGGGCAGACTATCAAAGGCTTTTGGGGCAGGTGACTCATTCGAAAGTGTGTTCAAAAGGTAACTGACCCATTATACCAAATATATAAGGAAAAATGGAACCTTAATTGATGTTTTTGATTGTTCATATGGTATGGCCACACTTAAACAAGATTTAGTACGTGGCAGTGGTTATATATTTACTTAGGTTTTACTATCTAATTGGGAAAACCAAAGGATTTAGATATAGGCGGCTTTGCCGCAAATAAAATCGAGAAATAGAGTTTACATAGAGTTCAGTAGCCTTGGGGTAAGGTTGTAATTACTCTTGAAGTATATGGATTGCGATCGTACAGATTCTAAGTATAGAAAAAAGGTCACCTACCTTATCTAAGCTTTCTCTAAACGAAATTGCTACGGCAGCCCCATGAACCCTTCTAC